TCTACGTGGCTCCTCTGTTTTGTGTACAACTTTTCTTGAAGTTGTGATAGTTTTATCTCCAGAAACCGCGCTTTGCAAATTGGGTCCAGAAGAAACATCGCCGGACGACACTGAAGCAGAGTGCTGGGCATTACCCTTCGCATTTCTCGTCACTCTCACACTTGTCTCCTCTGGAGTTGACCATTCACGCGTTATTCTAGCTGAGCTCGTTCTTGATCCCGTAAGCGGAGCCCTGAACTGTTGCTTAGAAGTCTTTGAAGGTTGCGCTGAAGTTTTAGATTGTCGTGTGGGAGATTGAAGACGTTGTGCTATCATCGGCTGTTGTTGCTCCACAGAAGGACCTGAATGTTTTGTTGAAGCATTTGGACGCTGCACATGGGTATTTGGACGATGCTTGGATGATTGTATTGCCAAGGTTTTAGTGGTACGCGTTTTCCCACTGTTGCTACGCAGATCCTGTTCCGTAGTAGCGCTTCTCAGAATTCGTTCCGGTGAGGAATTTAGTGATGATCCGGAAGTTACGACGTAATTAGAGGATCCACTGGCACTTACATTTTGCTTTGAAATTCCTGTAGTTTTCGCAGAATTCTCCTTTCGAACTTTTGCGGCACCCACTTCCAACTTGATTTTTTGGGAATGACCTCTAAGAGGTACTTCCTCTAACAGTGAAGCACCGGCGGGTTTAGTAGGGTTACCGCGAAGAGTTCGCATTTCACTATCCTCTAAATGTCGCTGATCAGAATTCTTATCCAATTTTTCTCGATCTTTCTCCTTTATTGAAGAGGAAGTACCGTCTTCCTTCATTTTGTAATCCTTTGAACTCGACTCCTTGCTCACACCAACTGCAATTTTCTCATGAGCAGACTCTCTACTAGTAGACTTGGTTAGAGGTAAAGAACTTCTTGGCTTTCTGCCAAGACCCACTTTTATGTCGCCCAGAGAGAGGGACCCTCCTGCAGATTTTTTAGGCAAATCACGAAACATTTCTCTAGTCGCCGATGTATCACGTTTAGTAGGGGATATGAAAGAGTCCTGTGGGAGAACCTCAAACGAGGATGCTCTCCAGGCATCAATGATTGCTTGTGCAGTAGATATCTTGGGAGCAGGATGGCGAGCTGACGAAGTCGTAACTGATCTTCGGCTGCGAGATTTGGATGTGGATGGCTCCTCGTTTTTGTAGAACGAGTTAAGCAAAGATGGAACTTCTTTCACTGGCTTTTTGAACAACTCTTCAGTCGACGTATTAGCCAATGTTTTCTTTTTCGGCTCGGTACATGTAAATTTTTCTCTGGACATGTCTTGCACAAAGGAAGTTGATGCTTGAGACTTCGATGATTCAATTCTGCTGAATGCTTCCCGACTACTCGATGATTTTGAACCTGGTTGTGCGAAGTCTTGGGATATTCGAGCGGATGGGATGAATCGTTTAACCACATGATCTCCTTCAACAGCATAAGAATAGCTTTCCCTTATCGAAATATCTGCAGAGTTCAAAATGACGCGGGCAGATTTTCGTGAAGTTCTCGAAGAAGAAGGTGGTTCTCCCTCTTGAACAGCTAAATTTGTAGTATCCGAATCCCCGGACAATTTTCGTTTCACTGGTTTCACTTTCGCTGTGGATGAGGTATTGGGTTGACTGGTGAGTGAATCAGCTCCGACGGAATCTCCAAGTTTGCGCTCCAAATGTGGAGAGAAAAGCGCAGGTTTAGATGGTAAAGTAAATGAATGGTCTACTACACTGTTGCCGACAACAGCTCCAAAAGCATTTTGTCTCGCTCCACTGCGAGACACGCGTGACATTTCCATAAATAGCTTCTTTTTTGGTTGTACGATAACTGACAGTTCGGCATTATCAAAAACGTGCAAAGGTAAACACACTTCAGCAAGTAAGATAGCGCCAACGCAACTGATAGTCTCTTCAATGCAAACTTCAACAGCTGACTGGCTTAGTTGCAAGGGTGTTCTGTCTGCATTTGTAGACATGACTTTTTTGGTCTTGCACGAATTCTCGTGTACAGAAGACTTCAGTTT